ATATATATATATATATATATATAGATATATATCGTTGCTAATAGCGACTTATTTATTGCAACCGACTCATCAACATCAGATGCAGTTTAACCTACTCGGCGAGAGTTTTTTGAAAGGTGTTCTGACACTGAGATCAAATACTCCTTTATCACAACATATATTCAAACTCCACTGCATGAGGTGTATTTTAATCATCCCGGATTTTTAGTGGATTTGCTAAGAATTCAATGAGTGAAATACTTACAATTTGTAGTTTGATAGTTTTTCCATCCAAATCGATGGTGCGAATTTTCTGCAAAAATTTTTTAATATGAACTTCATGTACTCAGAACACTTTATGAGTGATTTTCTTTCCTTTGCAACTTACTAAAAAAATTAGGGACCATAAAATTTCTGAACTATATTTTATATTCACAAAAGAAATTCACAAACGTTTATATTCACAGAAGAAAATTAAGTGCCAGAAGTTGTGAAATCGAAAAGCAGCCACAAAAGACAGGAAGAGTGAAATCACTCCATTCCTTATTTGTTAATATCGCTTTAAATTTTATCAACACTGATATAAAATAAGTTAACATAGCCTAAGTTACGCTCCTAAATCCACATTTCTCATTTCGGATAAAAATACATAATTTATTTAAAGTCGTTGTACGATATAAATCCAAAAAGAAGCATCAGTGAAGGAATGAATTTAAAACTTTATTTCAGTGCTGCATGTAATACTGTTATTACTGTTACTCGTTCACTGCTGCAGAAGCTTCTTTGAAAGAACAGCATTGAAGATTGCGAAATTCATCTCGAGTAAAACAAACGCGAAAGGTAGCGAAAACGAAAACCAGTTTTTTTTTGTTGCTTTCCCGTTGTAAACACCATGGCTTCCTTTTTTGGGTGGACACCTTATATTCTTACTACATTTAATTGCGAATAAAATTTAGGTCCGACAAAAACATCATTCTTCAGCAATGTACCAGTGATATCCTAGTCGCAGTCATGAACAAAAACGCATTATAGCAATATCCCGGAATGTATATCAAATTTTTCTGTAGCATGAAGGTTTAGTATTCTGAAGAAAGTAATTCATCGAATGGTAGTAAACACTAGCAGCGGAATAATGCAATAAATTAATAACAGCAAAATACAGAAGTTAAATTAAATAAACATAGTAGAAAACATTCAAAATACCAAAACTGTTTACAACTACTAAACTCACGCCATTCCAAACAAACGATCATGCTTTCCTCATTTTCACCTCTGCATTCGGGGACTTAACTTCGTTAAGCCAACTAAGAAATTCTCCACTAAATATCCAGTACTTATTAGAAGTTTTCCTACCATTACATTTCCCTATCTCAGAAAATTCCGTTTTTATTTTCATAGATTTGTAAATGAAAAGGAAGCAGGTTATCTTTGCCAATGGAATCAAACGCTACTATAGAGGTTGGACAACTCTAACCAGAAGCGTTTGAACTAAAAGATCACTTTGAGTATGGAGTGTATGTATTTTCCCAATCAAATGACTATTCGTAACATTTTTGGAATCCATTAGTTGCATTATAGTGAATGAAGGAATACCACTGAAATCTGTGAGAGATGGACAATGTTTCAGCAAAATTTTAAACAACTTTCGGCAAATAACTAACGAAATCCACTCCTATGGTTGAAATGTACGATTCGGTGTAAGTATCATCAGCGAATCTGAGTAACAAACATGACTTTCCAACACCGGAATCACCAATCAGTAGAAGTTTGAATAAATAGTCACTGAAAATTATATTCCTGCGAAATCCTTTTGGATCTCGTGAAAAGCTTATGAAATGTGAAATATTGTATCTGTTTGGATCACGACATTATTATTAACAATTATGAGGATCAGTAGGACTAACCACTCTTTTTTATTTTTGTTTTAGAACTGAAATAAAAATTGAGGTAATGTGCCTTTCTAGACATGAATTTCAAAGCAAAAATAGTCGCCGAATATTGAGTAATAACAAAATGACTTTTGAATAGCACTATTCCACTCGACAGATTGCTTCATAATGACTTATGTAGTTAAATTAATTTGTTATCAGAAAAGTTTAAAACCCACTATTCGGGATTCATTGAGGCCATAACTTCACACTTAACAAAGTATATTCCTCTGGAATAAGTGTATCTGAAAAGACAAAAGGTATAAAAATGATACTCATGGTGAACATGGTCGACAGTCTCCTCGAAAAATCCTCTTGCAATTCAGTTTGCTTCAAATTTTCGAATATTCTTTACAACATGGTTTAACTGAAGGAGAGTAAGCTAATTCAAATTCCGATAAAATAGAAGAATTTAAGCATTCTGGAAACAAACTCCTCACCAGACGGAAACATAATTTTAGCTGCCATAAAAACATGAAACTAATAATTACTAATATTTATGAGCCTGTCAATTCCAAGTAGTGATTCGGTAAATATCCTTTTGCCATAGTCAATTCCTAATTATTAAAAGTGAAAAACTACAGGGATGATAAAGAAGTCGACTTTGACCCACAGTGATGATGGAAAACAAAATATCGAACCAACAACCGAACAGACAGGCAGACACATAAGAATTCAGTACGAGCGTAAGCGTAAAGGCACCAAGCTCTACTACAGATCATAACAATGAAGAAGTTATTAGTGTTTTTTATGCATTTACTAAACTGCTGTATTTTCTCATTAAATTATTTTTAATTTTCACCAATATAGTTGGAAACCAGATTAGCCAAATGATAACGACAGATTTTTCGATAAATCTGCTACTCATCAATTTCCTTATTCCTTGAACTGCCATGCGATTAATTCCATCATACCTTCCTGCTATACTATCTAGGAAACTACGATATCTCAGCAATAAATCATTGGTGATCATACATTCAGGAGCATCATATGACCTTAGGCCAATGTTAGACTAGACAATCAGCTCCCTGCAAAGAAATGGAAAGGAATATCCTACTGTATTAGCAAATTCTGACAAACGCTACTTTTGCAAGTCTTTCAGAGACAATTTTTTGTTCTTGCCATCTATCCTGAGAATAACAAATGCAAAACAAGCTGTACACTCTGTAAGATGACCGCCAAGGAATTAGCAACTGAGCAGGGCAGATTCCAAGCGATAATCAGATAAAACCGAATACTTCGACGACTGATGATGACGATCTAAGTTTGGAAATGCTTAGTAAAAATATAACCATGCTTGATATACAAACAACTTGTCGCAAGATGTTGGTTCGCAGAAGTATTACACGTAACGAGGCTTACTTATCCCTTATAGTACTCGAGCTAAAACACTAAAAGTGTAAAAAACTTGAAAAAAAGACGAAAAGATACGTCTTTAGTTCTACATGCAAAACAGATTACTCCATTTGGAAAGGAGTCTAAACTGTTGACAATACATAACATCCTAAAGCTTGACCCGCCCCCAAACAAACTCTCAACCCAGCGTATACGGATCATACGCAAAAAAAAGACATCACCGAAATCACACAACTCACCAATCTACGTCATCTACACTATCGCTGTGCACCAGTTCGCGCATCACATTTCCGCGTTATGCAATTTTTCCGTTTCACGACGTTGATAGTGAAAATGAGATGATGTTTGCATTGTGTTGATGATCCTTGTCAAATACTGTTTTAGTAAGCACTTTCATCGCATCATACGTATTATAGGAATCATATACTTGAAATGTTTCTGAGATTTTACAATACGCAAGGAACAAACATATTTTCAGATTTATTCATGATCAAATTTGTGAAAGAAATCCACTTCTTAGTCATTCACTCTCAAAGGAAATTTTTATCATTTGATGAGAAAACTATAAGTAGAGTAACTAGAGCAGTAATTCAAGAGCGATTCAGTAAAATCCACTTATCGATTTTTGCTCAGCAATTTGAATGTGTGCTTCGGATTTTTTGATTAGATGATATTCTTTTTAAAACGATGTAAAAATAAATTTTGTTCATAAACTGACCGTTCATGAATTCGTAAGTAAAATAATCCCTTCATTGATAACGTCTTAGCAGCATTATTTACATTCTGCAAAATTGTATGGCAGTTCACGTTAGCAAAGAAGGGATTTCCGATATGAAGTGAGGCACACAAAAGCATAGAGTCTTCCAACATTCCGATTTCATCTCAGGTTGAAGCAGGAAAGTGTCTTTCATATAATTTTACCAATCAATTTAATGTAATGTCATAAAACAATAAATAATGGCAGCAATAAATTCAAAAGATCTTATCATTTTCCAACGACCTCCCGACATTGTTGTGATATATCAACCTATTACCCCGATTATGCAGGTTCAAACGATCGGATTGAAATCATGTAGCGTTAACCCGATCGTTGTTGTTGCAAATTCAAAACACAGTTGATGGATGAACATATGGTCGTTTGCTGTTTCTTGCCACTGAGATAAAGTGAATAGCTCACGTATATCTTCGCCCCTTTCTAAGTTTATTTTTGTATTTTGTCTCTATCTCCTTAACAGGTAAAGCTTTTATCGTTCAAGCGTCAAGTAAGATTCAAGAATTCGTCCCGAAAAGAGATACTAAAGTGAAGACCTTCCCGTTCTACTGTAAATGCAGGATCAATTATGATAACCAACAATATAAATCCTAATGCAAAAATTACAGCCTTAACAATGTGGTGATAATATAATATGCTATGAACACACACAGTTTGATACCACCATTAATGGTGACGAGGCAAACCATCTCTTGTGAGACTGAATGCCATTCCGAAAAAAAAAATGTATGAAAACAACTGCGAATCTTTCTCCCACATTTTATTTGTTAAAATCCAAAAGTATGAAATTCCGGAACGCAAATTAGGTAAGAACAATAAATACATAAAAAAAAGTAACACTAAAATAGCAACAGTGGCTGTAATGCAAAACAGAGAATAAGTAATGCAATTTTTTAGAAAAAAACATTGCAGAAAGAAAAAAGCAGTTTTGAAAAGATAAGGTAGAAAAAATTTTGAAAAACGTACTACCCATATATTTGGTTGAATTCATACAAATACCCATAAATACCAGCACTGATGACAAATTATTACAGAAAATGATTCGTAAGTGTTCCTCATAGAACTTATTTTGAAGTTACCTTCTATATCTACTGATCCTTATAATCCGACAACAGGTTCTAAAACACTGGCACTCCTTTTTTTACAAGAAATCATTCAGCACAAAAACCTCTACAAACAAATCCAATGCTTCACACCTACAGAGACCAAAATTTTTGGTTTTTTAAATGCCAAAAAAAAAGTGAAGTGAAAGTAAGAGCATAAAAATCCCGAAGTGAACATGTAAAAACACGAATTCCTATTTTCAAGCAGATAATAAGTATCAACTGATCCAAGAATTCCAAATAAACTTATCACTGATGAATAAATACAAGAAATTTCATTTCTTTCCTCCCCCTACTCCTAACAGATTCACAAAATAGCGGATCTAAAAAGCAACACCCGCCCTGAATAAAAATCTTTTTTGGACTAGACTAGCACATTTTTAGAATGCTCTAGTATTGTCGCAAAACAAAATTTCAGAAACGCGAATAATATATTTTGAAGTTCAACGGTTTCTGGCTTCCACCTTTATGCTCTTCAGAACGGAAGACTGTACCTTAACAATTCGTCACCTCAAGAGTTACCTGAATGACAGACACAGAATAGCTGAACCCGCAAAAAATTCAATGCCACTAGGCAAAAAAAAGAGAAAAAACCTGAAAATAAACATTTCATAATGAACAAATTTCAACTACAGACCAATCCGGTTAACAGAGTATGTAATATAGAGGCACGCATTACGGATAAAGCACTCTGATAGAATAAAAGTATAAAGAAAAATAATTATGAAACTCCTACTAAGTGTAAAATAAATTGTAAATTCATAGATTTATCGAATAGGAGACTTTCCTAGACTGAAAAAACTTCAGATTCCGCAAGAAATTACGAATAGTGATCAATAAGTGAGTCAAACAGAAAAAAACAAATGAGAATTCAGATGAAGAAATCACACTTAATATTTCAAAGAAAAAAAAGAAAAATCAATCTTAAAAAATAATACACTCCAAAATACTACGGATACACGAGTATACATATTGACTTAACATAAGAGGATCTGCTAATGCGTCACTGTCAGAAAAATAAAACCACATTCATCTATATGTAACAGGAAAGATAAGGAAGGTGAGAAGAAAAAACCAAAACTTTTGGAATGTGTTCATTCCGGAAGATACGTTGAGAATGCATTTTTTTTTACTGAATTGCAAAAAGAAATTTTAAAAAGAAAAAAGAAAAAAATCCTATTTTGCTATCAATCGATCTATCGCCTGTATCCTAAAACATAACACGACAACTAATATATGTTATCTAAGTTCAAACCGATAACATTTCGAAGTCAATTTCCAAATAGATGAGTGCTGCATTGGAATGAATATAAAGAATCGGACGAATTTAACGCGCGACACAACGTTTAGATTTTGTACATATTCCTTTATATAAATGATAAAAGTGGAATTCCTTGTAACATTGGGAAATCTTTCTTTTAGATGCTCCTGACTTTAAATTTCAATTAACTTTCCCTACTTATACTTTTGCTCTTCATCCATATCTCGAAGAAACGTCAAAATAAAAATATGATTGCAATAGAAAATGAAAAGCGGAAATAGAAATAAGACTAGCGATTCTGATGATGACAAAAGCAAATTTATAAAACAGTACATACGCAAAATAAAGTGGATAATTGCGTAGAATGTTGGCCGTAGAAGATGAAGTTGATGTGACAAGCGAGATGATAATCAGTGAAAGATCTAAGAAAAAGCTTACTATTTTACACATGTAACTATACTAACACTTTACGTAAATTTAGTTGAAATATTGAAATTCATAAGAAATCATTCCAGTCATATAACTGTTCTTACAAAGTAATTCCACAATTGAGAATTAAGTGATAGAAGAGAAAGTAGAGATACTGCAACAGCAGTTACTGGACTTCTCTAACAAAAATATCGCCACTTTCCGTTCCGAAAACCCAAATTTCCAATTATTCTGGCAGGAAAGAAATAAAAAAGTGAGACTGTAACAGGAATAAAGTACAAAACTGAAATCCAAAAGAAACATTTGAACTTGTCTCATTTACAGAATTCCAGCGAACAAATTAACTTATTCATTTGCCGGACAATATGATGACAGTCTAGTTATGCAGCAAAGAAATGTGTAAGCAGCGACACAGAACATGCCTAGCTAACGGATAAAGACCTGGCTTGAAGAATGTCGAGTAGGTTTACATCCAAAACTCATGTTAGCCCCAGTGTAGACCCATCCAAAAAACTTTTCTTAAGACGCGGAACATTTTTCATTGTGATCGAAATGGTCGTTTTCATAATGATAAAACAAAGTGTATCGAAATTTCGATTAGAAAGTATGCATAGTTCGAAATCAAGTTTTTAAAACCTTTATTTTTATTGAATTCAGGACTGAAGCTGTAAATTATATTGTTTACTTGCTACCTTTCCAGATAAACCCGAATAAGACAAAGAAAGAAATGACAGAGATTGACGAATATTTACTTGATTTAAATAAGAAGCGATAGTAGAAGTTCTGAAAAATAAAGGCAGCAATGAGACTACAGAATTCAAAATAAAGACGAAATAAACTTTGAAACTGCTTGAACTATGGATAGAATTATGTGATATCTGCTAAAATTGTACAACTGAAAAGCCGTTAATGGATTTTGATAAGCTGTTCCATGGAAGACAAGAGCAAGATTGTTAATTTTTCATAAGATGAAAAGCTCGCAAATTTACAAATGCACTTGTGATAATATTGTCATACCAGACTCAATCGAATATAATGCTGAAGGTAAAAAAATCGTATCTACTCGGAAGGTCGAGTATAAATCCGTTAGCGGTATAATTCTACCAGGTCTCTTCTGGTAGGATGCTGTCTTCTGTGTCACAAAAAAAATTGTTCTCCAAAAAGATGACAACTGATAGATAGTTGACCTTATATTACACACATCTTATTCCCCAAACAAATTTAAAAATTCTACTTTGTTTTATAAAATGAGAAGGGAAGACTGAATAGTTACAAGTACTTACCTTTCCATTCATTTCGCAAAAGGTTTTGGAAACGACAAAAATGATTTGTGAATTCTATGAAAGTTTTCCCCAAATGTTATCCAAATATTTTATATCTGCATTATTTCGAAGGAAAAAAAACTCCTTTTTAGATCCACTTATCTGCATTATTTCGAAGGAAAAAAAACTCCTTTTTAGATCCACTTTTCTTGTAATTTTAAGCCAAGCACTTCTATACGGGTACATTTGTCATCAGAAGTAAACAATCGCAGAGTCATTATCTGCACTTCCCAAAAAAAGCACACGTTTATGGCTTCGGAAATGGCAATAACTTTGAGAAATAGTTTCGAAAAAGTTGCTATGTCCTTCCAAATTTAATTTAACTTATCCAGTAGTGGTTACTTTGTTACCTAGATCATTCTTACAAAAACAACCGAAAAGAAAACGTTCGTCGCAGAGAACTAGAATAAAATATGAACGAACAGTTTTACCATGTTAGCAAAGGGTAGTATATTCTATTGATATTCCTCCCAACTATTTCGATACGTTGCTTCTAGCAATTCAGAGACATACATGCAGGAAGATTAATACGAAATTACAATGCATGACCACATGATGAAGACAGATGTTATTAGTACTCAGTTAGAACCACAGGAGAAGATAAGGAAATTCTCACAAATCTCTGCAGCGCTACTTTTTTTCTTATTCCCCGAAATTAAACATTCAACTTCCTTTTTATTGTCCACGTGTTTCAGGACAAAATGAGTGGGTGAAGATACTCTTCCAAAAAAAGCAAACCATAACCCTAATAAAATGATTCATGGGAGTTATGATCGAACTGTAATGATGCACCAACAGTTCTAAGTGAAGAAAAAGTGACCAAAGATTGCTTAGAGAAAACTAAAAGATTTGACAAAAGAGAAAACGAATCCTAAAGCGGTAAATTCCTTCGGGAATTGATCAGAAAAGTCATAATGCTGTATTCTTCAAAGTATGATGATTATTGTTGTTGCCATTATTGTTTAAGTTAGTTTTGTCCGCAACCAGATGTTTTCCTTGGTTTTTTTCCCAGAAATCTACATGTTTCTTCAGAATTTCCAACTTTGACCTCAAATCCTCATGTTTCTGTCTTGTTTCCAAATACTCCGGATTACGCTGATAGTGCATATATCGCATTTCTATTGCTTCTTCCGCCTTAAAGATTAAAAAAAATCCATATCATTACTACATTCAGGTTACTACTTCCGAATATCTTGTGTCTTAAAATAGGAGTGAGATATCTATTTAAAAAAAAAAATTATTTTAACGTTTAGAAAAAACATTATTTGTCAAATACAAGCAATAGATTAATCTGCATTTAAAATTTTAATTTGAATCAGTGACAAAACTATAATTTAGTTTTTTGGTATCGAAATCTGAACTGTATACCTTTTCATGTTCTTTCGAATTCTTCGGTGCCTCGTTCATCTTTTTTTCTAGCTCTTTGAATTCGTTTACCACAGCTGACAGAAGATTATAACATGTCAGGTACTTTGGATAATCATCCTGAATTCATATTTCAACTAATACATAAAATTGTATTTTACAGAGATGGAGTTGTGCTATTTAAGCAGAAGTATGGAACCGTAATGACATGAACCGTGATCGACTAGAAATGTGAAAAACTTTGTTAGACTTTTCCTACTGAACAAATGGTGTCTAAATAAAACAGAGGAACTACAAACCAGTTTTGCTTCGGAACAACCATTAAGATTATTAAGTCCTGGACTCAGATATTGTTGGTAACCAATAAAATAGGTAAGAAGAACTTAAAATCTTAAATTGTGGACTAAAAAATTTCGTTAGAGAAAAAATTTTAAGCTAACAATTTAAATTCAAAGGCGCCTACATAAATGAAAAATGCCAAATTTGATGAACGAAAAAAAATGAACATTACCAGAAACTTCAGGTAGTACTTTTCGGCTTCCTCTAAACTTCGTGGTTCTGGGAACTCCTTCAACCAATCACGACTAGTTTGTGGTGCAGAACTAGGCGATAAACTAGTGTTTGTAGAGCTTACTGGTTCCGCTGGGCGTTCAGTATCATTCAGTCCAACAATACACTGACCAGCATTTTTCTAGATAGTAAAACAAAAAATCCACCTGTCATGATTCATAAATAAAACCAGAAGAAATGTCGAAAAACTCAATTCCAAAAAAACCTTAAAAGTCATTAATCAATATGATAAGTCTCTGCGTTATATACATTTAGAGGTTTCTAAGGTACATGCCAAATTACTTCGAAGATGTGAGTCCACAACTCCAAATTTAACCTAGATTTAGTTATGATTTTCTGCATATCCTAAATCATCGGCAGTACCATCATTTTGTAATTAAAGAGCGGTTCAACTGGCATAAAATATGTGGCACTGCGTACGCAGTACTACGTCAAAGCTTCTAAATAATGATGAGCGAAAGATAACATGAAATGTCACTGTCTAAAGTAATTAGAACAGTTTTCACATCTATAAAGACTTATGTAATTATCAATCAAATTGTCGATAAAAAATGAAAGAATACCGTTTGTTGTGGATGCATGGCTAAGTTGGCGTTTGACGGGTCTTCCGGCGGTGATAGCGACTGTTGCCTTGGTCGCTTGGATGTGATCTGAGGAGGTGCTATTACTGAATTAGCATGAGCTTTTCGCTTTGAACTAGGCATACTTGAATTATTGAGATCATCATTCATTTTACCACTGTAAAGAAATGAAAGAAATGGCAACAAGACCAATAATTGACAGAAACATGAAAAATTTATTAATTTCCAATAATTTTCAATTTCGAACTCATCAATATATAGTATCATAGACACTGAAAAAACTTACTCCATTCCCGTACTATTTACGTTATTATTAATCTCGGAAGGACTTTTTGAGCTAATACTGGAAGCCGTGGATTCCGGGGATCTGCTTTGCAAAGCGCGAAAAGATGAATCTAAAAATATAAACAGAACGTTCTACAAAGAAATTTGTATCTTTAATTTTTGATTTTGAGAACAGAAAGATTCTCAGAATATTTTGTGGTACTGGAATACTTTTTAATTTTTTAAACAACGTGGAGATTCTTAGGGCTCAAATAAGGCCGAAAACAGGCAAACCATGAAGAAATGAGCAGTCAAATCATCTATGTTCACGTGGAAATAATATTTGGAAGCAGATTTTATTTTAGACATCTTTAAATAACAACTTTCAAGTTACTTTAACCATTACTGTTCACTCCTGCCTTGCTTTTATCCATCAAATTCATGATTTTTTTTGATACAAAAATTCTTATGTATGTCCAACTATGCTTTATCAATTAATAAACTATCATACAAAGCAAATGAAAAGGCAAATAATTCAGCAAAGAAATGGAAAACAAACCATCCGTTGACAGAGCTGCATTACTAAACAGCGTTCCTGATCCAGGTGCCATCATGGGGACAATCCTTGATTTTCGTACTGGTGCGAAATTGGAAATATTATTACCCATACTACCAGACAAAATCTTCCGTACATAACTCTTTTCATCTGAACTAAAACCTGGCCAACGTGCATCCACCTGTGAAAAATCAGGAAAACCAAATTAGATATGCCATATTTCCAAAAGTTTAACAATAACAGGACCAACTTCAATAAAGCATAGTTGGTGTCTCCTTTTCAGTTTTCTATAATATAGTTATTTCTTCCACACTCCTACTTCATTTTGAAAGTATCTGTGAGTAAAAAAAAAAGAACCTCATTATAGAATGCTTGTTTGAGTTGCAATCGACCAGCTTCACGATTCAATTCTCCAATCTGAAATATGCAAGAAATCATATCTCATCTATTTTTTGCTTACTTATCCTCAACTTAATGTTTACTTTCAATATTCCAACACATTATTTTCTCTCCCTTAAAGACAAAACCAATTGGGCTTAAAGGAAGTTATTGTAGATTTAGTTAAAAATTGGTCACTGGAAGACTAAAAGTAGAAGGAAATGGTTGAATCACTGCTACAGTTTGTTTCTAAAAGACAGACACTGAAGTATACTGAACCTCATAAAGTTTTGTCACTCCTGACCGCTGGTTAAATCAATAATTTTGACTTTAAGTGCCTGAAACGGTATCCAGGCATTTAAATAAAAAAAGCCCTAGAATTAGGGGAATTTTTTGAGCGACCTAACAAGAATGACTGATGTCCTCATAAGAACAAAACTAGGAGATATAGGTTTTATACTGGATTGTAGGAATTCTATTCAAAAATTCTATCACATCACTGAAACTGCGACAAAAAAATTTAAATTCAAACTAATTTCGAATAGTTTCATTTTATCGAAAGAGAACTCCTTAGAAAATACTCCCGTGGCGCACCCTAAAACTGCGTTTGTCGGCCAATTAATAAAATAAATACAGTGTAAAAAAAAAAATAAAAATAAAGAAAATAAAAACGAAAAGGAATAATTTCAATTTGAACGTTTACAATTTATTTGAAGAATACATGTATCCTGAAAGTGTAGCGACCATGAACAGTAACATTTCTTTTTTATTACTCAGCTTGGATCAAATTTCTTATGACAACGTAAGTAGCCTTGTAGCCTAAAGAACTAAAGAAGGACGTTTTTTTTAGCCATTATTGGAAGAGGACATCTTCACATCTCGTCCTCCGAAAAGATACATCAAAATTCGAACACCTGCCTCAAATATAACAGCTAAGCATGTCATAAAATGAATTGACAAATAATAAATTACTTCATCAATAATTTCTTGTACTCGATCAGCATCTTCTTGAGCAATCTCTTCACTCAAAGAATCTTTCCGTATTTGAGTAATGATTTCACTTGTTGAAGAAAATCGTCCAAGTATAACCAAGTGTATAACACGCTTCCTCAATGGTCGCCTTGAAAGTTCTGCACGAACAAACGATCGTGCACCAGCTTCAACAGACATTTATGTTAGGTATACTACTACATTGGTTATTAAAAGCCAATGCACTTATCAGAAGGAAATGTTATCCAAGAACTTATTATTCTAGGCCTTCCTAATATCAGTTAATTCAGTGGATTGATGAATCGTCGTTTCTTCTAACGGCGAATAGAAGAAATTTGAATGAACATTAAAACTGCAACTGCTAGAAGTAAGAGGAAAATATTTCAAAATGAGGACATACCAGCTGATGCATTCGAAGAGGCCTGTTGCTGCTGGTTACCCACGCCCTAAGCATTGATTATCATTAATTAAAAAACATAAAATTATGTACATTCCTCATTAAGATTTCGTAAACTTCATCTTCGACTAATTACCATACCTTCTACCAAGGACGGCATCAATCGGGAAATAGTAGCAAAAAACCCATTTCTGGAATTAATAAAAAGCATGATTTGAACAAAATATTCAGCTGCTAAAACTAATGGAACTATGATCTATTGTCTTTTTTGCCCTCGAAAACAATTTCCTCGCATTCGGCATAATGTATGGCGTAATTCCAAACCTAACAGGTGCTACCGAAGCGCTCTTGTCAAAGAAAAAAAGGATTTATAAATTATTTACTCTGAATGCAGCAGTTTTATATGAAGAATCAGAATGATGAGATCGAGCAGAGGATGACGAACTTGGGCGTTGGGCGCCGATCGCCAACGGGTTCGTTGCACGCATCACAGTTACTGAGCGTTGCTCACGCTTATGTCTTCAAAAAAAATATTACAAATTTAATTACATCTAAAACAACCAGCCTAATTCACTTGTATGAAGGTAATCCTATCACTTTACGGATAGTAGTTCAAATTTCTGGAATTCAACGTATCCTGCTACTGTAAAATAACCGTCTGGATCGAACTATCTCTACTAGTTTTCAGATGAAGCAGTATTATTTCATCCTTCTCCGCTTAACAAAACATTTAATGGCAAAAATGACCTCGACGATTCCTTCATATGCTTCTTTTTTTCTTCCTCGATAAGCTTATCACGTGTTTCCGCAAGCGCCTTCGCGGTAGTTTGTACCTAAAAATGACTACTGACATCAAAATATCCCAGAAACGTTCGCACCTAATAGAGTAGCAGTGTGCTTTAAGCAGTATATCCTCGAACATTACTGAAAAACCCCAAAAAACTAAAAAAAAGTATAGAAGTTCCCTCGCCTGTATTTTGGAGTGGAAAGTAGACACGGTTCGATATCTCTTTTGGCAATCATAGGTAACAGCATCCGCTGGTGCACCTGGTACTTCCTGGATGACGAAACGAAATTTAGTTGCCTGTCCACCGCAACCAATTTCAATAGCACCTCCCTGTAGTAAAAATAAACTTGAAACACCATGACATTTTAAAAAATTCATCAAAGTCTATCACAGGTATATTACAGAGGGTGAAAACCGGTCGAGTTTAATTTAATTTGAGCTATCAATAACGATGGTATCCTTCATATTTTCATATCAGTAACTGACAAACCATGAAACATGATTTGTCAAAGGAGAAGTTTTACAAATGCAAATTTTATTTCTGTAATTCATTCTCCATGAGTTGTAGAAATAAAATTTGCGTTTGTTTTTAATTCTTTTTTAAGACTTTTTAATTAGAATATGAAATAGGATGAAATTCTAATGGTGTAGATCTGGATAAAGAGGACGCAATATTTCATAGAACATAGAGATCAAGAATGGAAAACATCATTCTAGCATTGAAATTTGATAAGTATCAATCTAAGAGGTTTTGAGGATAAAATACTGATCGTCGTGATACAGAGCAAAATATATATCTAAACTCTCATTTCATAAGTTCCAAGTGATTATCTACTTTATAACAAATCGGAAATTAAGGAGGACGAAAAATGTGGAGCATAACTCATTTTCTCTCGATTCCTTCTATAAATAAGTGATCACTTTAGGAATGAAGTCCACTAGTTAAGCTTTACAGTCAGTACAAAATATACTTTACAATCAGTACAGTACAGGTCTTTTTGATTATGAACGTGTCTGAACTTTCAAGGTAATGAATTTCCATATTGCAATGAAAAAGTCTCGATTTTCTAATAACATACTTTTAAAAACTATGGCATTTTCTCTGGGATGAAAGATCTAATGAAACTAAATCTTTTGCCAAATGTAATATGATCTTAATAATGGAAGCAAAAGAATGCGACATAAATGGCAAACCTGCTTATCAATTTTTAGCCGCACTGGTTGTCGAGTCTTTTGAGCTACTTTAAGAGCGGCAATGCTTTCATCGGTAAGCTTAATCATCATAGCTGACTGACGAGCCATTAAATCGATATCCACCTGCATCCGCAGCACTTCTATATTGTTATTAGCAGGGGATGAATTACGAGGTGATCCTGTCCCGGCCATTGACGTCGATTTTTCTTTTTCTGATTCTCCAATTTCACTTTTTCCACCTGTCGTTTATTCACACTTAATGTTTCCCTGAACCAATCCGGTCTGTTTTACTCAGGAAACGAACCATGTCTTATTACGTATCCAGATCTGCGGAACCGACGTGAACAATCTTGGGTTATATAGTAAGAAAAAAAAATCAATCAAAACTATTGTTACTTTGTTATTACCTCTGCAATTACGAATGTAGAAAAGCCTATCCCTGAGTAGTAATAGAAAGAAAGCTTAAAAGATACAGTGCTTTGTGACTGTATATAGGTCAGGCCACTTGACTCTTACAGATAATAGATGAACCGTTGGATATTATCGAATGGACAATAAAGCTGTGCACAAAGTACCAAAGGCAGTAAGTTTTGAAAGTTACATCAAAGCCTGTCTGCACTAGCCAACTTATCAAGAAATAACCAAAGATATACAAAAATCAGGAAGTGCCACAAAGATGCAAGAGAGGCATTACCAGTATTGCTGCTTTCTCCTTCTCCCTTCCCTAACATGCGACAGATACCCTGCCCTTATTCCACTTCTATTCTACCATTCATTGTATCCCACACATAACGTTATAATAACGGTAAGAAGAAAAAAACAAAAAACAAACAAGCTGCAGAGGTTTCAAATAAAAATCATTTTAAAGGCAATATTTGAAATGTAAGAATATTTGTTTTTTATGCAGACAAAAAGGAATTATCTAATGCCAACAGCAGTACAGGCAGTTATGGAGAAGTGAAGCAATATGGACAGGAGGAGAGCAGCGGAGCGAAAAGGGACAGATAGAAGGAGAGGTGAATAAGAACAGTTCATAATGTGACTGACTTTATCACAAAAAGTTATTAATATCCCATACTGTTGCTGATGACATCAGTAGAGACAAAAAGTTTGTTCTTCCCAGCGGAAAGGCCGCTGTAAATGAATTATTTGAGAACTGTGACATGGAGCGAAAACAAAAAAAGAGTTGTAATGGGAGGATTCCGTCAACTACGTTGCATTAGGCAAAGCAAAGAAAAAAATACATTGCCTCTATGATTGCGATAGAGGTCAGTCCATTTGACCCTTTTGTAGTATACTGCAGCTGCTCAATGATTAAAAACTTACTAATGAGCTCATTGGTAATTATCGAATGCTCATATGTCTAGAATTGATCGATCGATGAATAGTGTTGCGTTGAGCGATAAGGCTTATAGATGACATTCCTCTAGCTGTGTCGCAGTGCAGGCCCTTTGTTTTACAAATCAACATTTGTTGAACTATTCTGCACAACTGAAATGTCACGAATGCCGTTGACAGGACGTACACTTTTGTGCTTCAATGATTCCGGACGAATACTTCCTTACTGTACTTTTGTCCTCCTATTCCCTCCCACTCTTTTGGAACAATATATAAGAAACCAAATCTATCCCCAACTGTTTCCTCTTCTTGATCTATGTTATCAGTCTATGCACAAATCTCTCAGATCAAAGCAGCCCAAACTATCTAAGCATATCTGTGACATGGTATTTACGTTTACATTCAGTCGTTTACAGCAGTCCCCAATCCTTCTTGATCTATGTTATCAGTCTATGCACAAATCATATAAACTGTAGGAAGGAATTATAAAATGGAATAATCATAGCAAAGACTATCCTCCCTATCATTCCTGAGCAATAAGTTCAGGGAATCACCCTGAGGGGAAAATACAACTAAATTCAAGTAAAGCACAGATAGTCATTTTAACTTTTTATCCAGAAATTCCACGCTACTGACAGTTTAGTTCACTGCAGCTTTTCGAAACTTCCGAAACTTATTTTTTTTCATTTTCTTTTCTAGAACTATTTCACGTAAAAAGCTCCCTTCTATCTATCATCTAACTCTTCATTTCTCAGAACATTAGCTTTTATGCCACCGTTTTGCACGTATGTTTCTGGTCATTCAAACATTCATGAAACTTCCTCGTTTTTTCGAAAAAAAAGTATAAAGAACGTGGGATGGTCCCAAGACACTGTCTGTTTTAACGAGCTGATATAATTAGGCTAAAACTGTTTTTCCGATGCATTCTTTTTTTATTTCCATTGAGAGTTAGTTGCAAATTTAACGGACCAAAACATTCTACAAGCTTTTAAGCCGTAAAATTTAGCAAGCTGATTGAGCAACGATCACAAAATTCAGAATTTTTGGCTACGACCCATTATTTGCAATGCACTTGTCTCCAACTTGACTACTTATTCGAAACGAATAGTGGAATTTCCGACACCTTTATATGACCATCTCATATATGTGACCAATTTCCGATACCTTTATGTGACCATCTCATATAAAAGATGCACTGAAATGTACTGATTAGATAATAGGCAACAAGTTTTATAGTACAATAAATATTTCATGACATATTCCAGATGAAGTCTAGCTCTGTTCTTTAAGACCGTGAGCCATATCATGGTGGGATCATTAATCTCAAAATATGGAGACTACTGCAGGAATGATAGGACCGTCCTTCTCCATTATTCCTGACTCTTCAGTTCATCAAATTTTGTCGCTAGAGCTGATGCAGTTTTGCTTAATAAGAGGGCATCTGAAAATTTTCGTATTTTAATTTGAGGGATTCGTTTGTCAGGCTAACAATGCCAGGGAAATTAAAAATTACTGTGAGAGTAAGTAGTATGTTCCACAGATCATTATGAAGTCCAACAACATTTTCACTACTCTATAAATCCTGCTTTTTCCCTTACCTTGCTAACGGAGCTTAAATTTTGACAATAAATGATATTTAGTGAAAAGAAATTACTGCTTATCACAATTTAAAATTAGAAATAAACAGCGCTATGTTTATGCGGAAGTGCATTCAGGTGATCCCTTGATCTTCGATTATCTACGCGAGTGCATGTGTTAGTCGTTTCATGTTTTTGGCCAGGAATTATATGTTGGGTAGGGATTATTTGGCCTGGATGTAAGGAAGGGTGACGATGTCCATCTCCATTGAAAAAATATTAAATACCAGGAAAGATCCTTCTGGATTATTATGAGCATGAAGTTTCGATAAAATCAGGCTAAATCTTCCTAAGTTATCGTAATTAAGTGACCGATGGTTCAGAAAAAATTTTGATGGCAGAAGGAAAAAAGTTCAGGAATGGATAATGGATCCAGTGAACTTAATGAAATGAACTATGAACTCCTTTGAAATGGGTGTGAAGAGCCGACATTACAGCTACGTGCCTGTGAATTATGAACATAATATTTTTGAATAAATTTCTATTAATAAAATGGTTTTTCCAATGCCATCTTTCTGCTTTTTGGAGCTCAAGGATTTATATTTCCTATGGGATATTACATCAAATGGTTAAAAAGTGAACTCTAAGATTCTTTTTCCATGGCAAAATGAGAGAAGAGCAAAATGCAGACCAGATCAAAGGCAGACCAGGGAGCGTAACTATCCTAATTCAGTCCCTAACTGGAAGAGTCCACGGATTCATAAATACAATTTTTATCTTGTTGCAAGGCGTAATTTGTCTCTTCCGGAAAATTGATAATTTCGATGCATGATATTCACTAGAGCCCCTGAGAGGAAAGAAGGGTTAGTACGATTGCACGTTTGATAAAAAAAAGAACAATGCGATTATTATATCGTCGCTAATCCATCAAGTGATTAAAATATATGGAAATATTATCGCAATCATAGATGAGAAAGAAGTATCCAAGTTAGGTTTAAGCACAAGTGAATTTCTCTCTCTAAAATTTCACCCAAACATCTCTTGCTTATATGAGATAGGCATGATAAAATGTGCGAAAATATCAACAAAATACACAAAAACTAGATGATGATAACAGAAGTGTCTTTTAATTTTCAGATGACAGAAAAGAGAAAGTAATAACCTGTGGGAATTTGTAAAGAACAAAAACTAAATGTAGTAAGGATACATCTAAATTTTCAAGTTTGCTTAATACAGAGAGTGTGGGCCTCCATGGCCTCCATCTCTTGACCTCCATCCTTTCTTACCAAGTTTATTTGCATCCCTTATGGAACCACACGTTTCCACTTAAATAAGTACACGTTACTATACGTGGAAACATTTACATTTATTACTGCAATGTCTCAAAAAAGCATTCAGCAAATTGCAAATCACTAATATCCGTTTTAAAACTACATGTAGTTGTTAGTGTAAAAAATGATTAAGTTGGCTTCTAATTTTTTCTGAAGAAATAATATAGTGCACCAACGATTCGGTCTCATTCAGTGAACAAAATGTATCAAGTTTTATTGCAATAACTGGAAGCAAATTTTGGATTTGATAATAGCAAAGTCAAGTAGCAAACTATGGCTCTGGAATTTATGTAAAAAATTTATAAACAATTGGCAAAAAAAATATTCTACGTAAGATGAGGAAGTACAATGAAAACGAATGTCTTATTTATCAGTGAGTTGTTTTGATTTCAAAAATTTCAGCAGTTTAAATCAGATTAACTTCAACATTATTTAACATAGTTATTAGATAAGAAAAGAGTGCATGGATACTATAAGCCATTGTTTGGTAAAATATCAGAATGAAGAATGATGACAAACTTCATTGACATTAGGGGAAAGGAAACCGGCTTAAACAAACACAGAAGTACAGAACTATGTCCAGCTTTTCTTAGCTTCCAAAACTCAAAAAAAAAAATGATAAATTTCAAAACTGATGAAATCAGCTCATCAATTTGCTTCACCAACACACACACACACACACACACATACACATACACACACACACACACACACACACACACACACACTACCTCT